CAGACAGACAGGTACACTGAGGTTGTAACCACAGACAGACAGACAGACAGACAGGTACACTGAGGTTGTAACCAACGACAGACAACAGACAGACAGACAGACAGGTACACTGAGGTTGTAACCACAGACAGACAGACAGACAGACAGACAGACAGACAGGTACCACAGACAGAATTTATTAGATTTTTATTTTTACTGTGAAAACAAAAGTAAAAATATTGAATCAAGAATCTTTTAAATAATAAAACTGAGTTTGTTACTTTATAAAAGTGCGAAAGATAACCGATCACTACCTGATTCTCATGTCCGATACGGATTCACCTGGAACAGCCTTTTACTTTCAAGTAATCAATACAACATACGATCAATACGATCAATACGATCAATACGTCAGAAACTGAATTTATTCATAAATGAGCAGTTTGATTAAAGATTAAACTACCCAGCAGTATAAAGTCATTATAATAAACTTTATGGTTTACACTGTGGTATTGATACTTTTGCTTAAATCCGAGTACTTTAAGAATAATTAAAGTTTAATTCATAAAGTTTTCAACAGAATCTTAAAGCTGTATTACTCTACTGTGTTTGTATGAATCATATATTGATCACAACATCTGTGAAATAAATCGTACTGTGATGTTTTTACCGGCTATCAGCGGCCCTGCTCCTTTAATATCAGTCGACCACTCGCAGGACGTTTGCTTCAGACTTTACGTACAGAAATTAAACTCAAAGTGTTTTAAATAAAACATTAAACACATAAAAGTTCAACCCTGTTGATCCAGACTCACCTCCTCCTCCATGTTTACCTGTTTGTGTTGATTTTAATCCCGGTTGGATGTGGAGCTACTACTGTCCAGCAACACTTCCTGCAGGTGTTTCACAATAAAAGCCCTCCAGCAGCCCAGACAGGAAGTAAACACACTCTCTGCTGCTGGTTGGCAACCCATCCTGGGGAGACAGCGGTCTGTGAATGTGAGCTAATGGATGTTATTGTCTGTGCAGATTGATCCAGAGCGACCGACAGACAGACAGACAGACAGACAGACAGACAGACAGACAGACAGCCAACAGGCGGTGAGGGACGACGATGTTTGAAAATGTCCCAGCAGGTAAATCATCTGTTGTACATTTGTAAGGTGAGGTATGGTGGTACTGCTCCGTACTCAGTGTCTGTGGGTTTGAACTCAGTGTCCACAGCCGAGCGTCAGCAGGTTCTGGGAGCTCTGGAGCGTCTGCAGGCCAAACTGGTCCAGAGGGAGGAGTGGACCCACAGTGAGACCATGGGGAACCTGAGGGAGTCCCTGCAGTGTCCTCTGTTCAACCACATCCTGACCCTGCAGCACTCCATCAAACAGCTCCGAAACCAGGTGAGACGCAACAAACACCTTCATCTTCTCCCTCAAACACCTTCATCTTCTTCCTCAAACACCTTTATCTTCTTCCTCAAACACCTTCATCTTCTTCCTCAAACACCTTCCTCAAACACCTTCATCTTCTCCCTCAAACACCTTCACCTTCTTCCTCAAACACCTTTATCTTCTCCCTCAAACACCTTTATCTTCTCCCTCAAACACCTTCATCTTCTTCCTCAAACACCTTCCTCAAACACCTTCATCTTCTCCCTCAAACACCTTCATCTTCTTCCTCAAACACCTTCATCTTCTTCCTCAAACACCTTCATCTTCTTCCTCAAACACCTTCATCTTCTTCCTCAAACACCTTCATCTTCTTCCTCAAACACCTTCCTCAAACACCTTCATCTTCTCCCTCAAACACCTTTATCTTCTCCCTCAAACACCTTTATCTTCTTCCTCAAACACCTTTATCTTCTTCCTCAAACACCTTCATCTTCTCCCTCAAACACCTTCATCTTCTCCCTCAAACACCTTCATCTTCTTCCTCAACCACCTTCCTCAAACACCTTCATCTTCTCCCTCAAACACCTTTATCTTCTTCCTCAAACACCTTTATCTTCTTCCTCAAACACCTTCATCTTCTCCCTCAAACACCTTCATCTTCTCCCTCAAACACTTTCATCTTCTTCCTCAACACCTTCATCTTCTTCCTCAAACACCTTCATCTTCTCCCTCAAACACCATCATCTTCTTCCACAAGCATCTTCATCTTCTTCCTCAAATACTTTTATCTTCTTCCTCAAACACCTTCATCTTCTCCCTCAAACACCTTCATCTTCTTCCTCAAACACCTTAATCTTCTTCCTCAAACACCTTCATCTTCTTCCTCAAACACCTTCATCTTCTCCCTCAAACACCTTCATCTTCTTCCTCAAACACCTTCCTCAAACACCTTCATCTTCTTCCTCAAACACCTTCATCTTCTTCCTCAAACACCTTCATCTTCTTCCTCAAACACCTTCATCTTCTTCCTCAAACACCTTCATCTTCTTCCTCAAACATTTTCATCTTCTTCCTCAACACCTTCATCTTCTTCCTCAAACATTTTCATCTTCTTCCTCAAACACCTTTATCTTCTC